ATCACCTCCCCCACCTTGTCTCTCTGCCCCCTGCAAGTCCATTTCCTTCCTCTGATCTCACTCTTCCCTCACTGAGCACTTTCAGTGCTCACTCATAGACCAGCTCAGACGTTACCACAGAAATGGGGCCAGGGAGCAGGCAGCGAGGGGGACAGGGTGGGTATTCCATGGGGGCGAATACTCGCTTTCTTGCTGCTTCACAATGCATGTACCTGTGGGAACACCTGTTTTCACCCCGTTTTCACCTCTGGTCCTCTGCAGTTTGGAACCTTGACCTTCCCCCGGCACGTAGCTCTCAGTCGGTGTCGCGGATGCACAGAGCTGCTTAGAGGGCGTGGAAATCCTGTCTGTACACTTGCATGGCACAAAAGTAGGCTCAGAATAGGCCACTAACCTCCTAGGTCCCTATCATTGTTGCCAATCACTGAGTTGGTAGTCTGTGTTGCTTAAATGCAATACATTATTCTACTTTAATCATCCTACTCTGTCATTGGTTCTGTCTCAACGATTGTCCAGTCGGTGTGTGTCTCACCCGTAACTCTAATCTGATTTTTGCAAAGCTTTGCAGAAGATCTAACAAAACCTAAAATTCACAGGTGCACAAATACAATAAAATAGATTGGTTAGTCTTTTTTTCCTCCAGTATTTGTAGTTTAGTTTCTATGTATAAATTGGGACACTTTCACTGCAAGCAGCACTGGACATTTTAAGAAATCCTATAAAAGACAAAATATCGAGTCTTCCAGCTTCTAAGCCAAAAAATGGACAGCTGCTTGCATATAGTTATGAAGGGCAAAAGGACAAAAAAGATGACTGGAGGTGTGATCAATACAAATGGATCCACGGAGGAAGCCATCTTTTCCCTACAGGGGTAGCCTCTGGTAAGGAAGAGATATTTCCAAAGACTGATCGATACAGATGAGGTTTTGTGTCACAGATATGGATATGAAGTTCTTGGTGGAAATGTGGACAAAGTGATTGTTCATTATTTGGGACAAGAAGAAACACCTGACTCATGTGTGCCCTACAGGAATATGAGAAACTATCCTTTGAGATCTCATGGTCGTACAATGCCATCTGTACTGTCAAAAGTTGTGGAGCAGAAACATTTAGGCCTATCTAAAAATTACCAGTGAAAAATAACAGACTCTAATGTCTCACCTGCCCATACGAGAGTGACTCTCCTCAAAAATACACAAGAAATAAAAAATAATGTATGAAAAACAGAATCAGTCCCAATGCTTAGTGATGTGTATGACCTTCACTGTCCCCTGGAAGGGTTTGTGTGTCAGTACTGCCGGGTCCCTGAAATCTCTGCAAGTTGGGAGCTTCCAGATGTTATTGGTATTCCACATTTCAGCCAGGAGACTTTTCCTCTCCCTTTTCATGTGCCTTTTTTCAGGAAAATCCAGCAATTCCCATGGCTGCGCTGATTCATGACAAGTGCACAACACATCCACACAAGATGTTTTTTCATTTCTAGCAGAATGTGTGTCCCAGGTCAGCAGCAGTTCCACTGTAATAGTACTGGGCTATAGGTTATACATTTCCGCCCCTGGGCAATTCAGAACTGACTTTTCTGGGTCCTTACTGGGATTAAAAATGGTTTTTAGCAAGAACAGGTTAATAACAGTGTATTATAAGTCTCACTGCTAAAGTATTGTTTGTAAGGGGGGTCTAATGGTATCCGCTGGTTTTTGCCATAATTTTTTTATTAAAATGCTGTTCCTGGCCATTCCAGCTTTTACACCGTCCCGTGATTTCTTACCTTGTAATCCTCGGCAGCTTCCTCTATGGGAACCACAGTGTGTTCTCTGTGATCTCGGGACAGGTGGCAAGCCAAACAAATGGGTGTTTGATCCTCTTGGCAGAAGACTTTTAAATCCTCCTTGTGTTTTTCACACACTGTCCCAACTTCTGGTTCTTTTGTTTGCTCCAGTTTAAGCATTCTGGAAGCTTCTACAATATTCCTTAGCTGTCTGTTTGGTTTGAAGTTTCTCTGGGAGAAGGTTTCTCTGCACTCAGGACAGGGGAAGTTTGTACTCAATGCCTCTCAGCACCGAGTGATGCAGGCCTGGCAGAAATGGTGCCCACAATCTAGAGACACTGGATCTTTAAAATAATCTAGACACACCGAACAAGTCACTTCACCTAGGAGCAGTTGCGCTGGATTCGCAGCAGCCATGGCTGCTTCTGCAGAGAAGAGAGGAATTTAGTTTCCTTTTATTGTTCTCAGAAATGGGCTGATTCTGAACTTTGCACCCAAACAGGCCTTTCCTACGTGTACATTGTCTCATGCTACTCTTGGGAGGCTGGAAACTCCTTCTGGTCTGAGTTAGCCCCTGGAGGAAGCACCAGGACAGACTGTGGAGTGGCAGCACCTGACGCTGTTGGTCCCTGCAATGGTGCAGCACGGCCACTCTGCAGAACAGCTGATTGAAAAACAGCACCTGCCACACCCACACCCAGCTCCATACAGCGTTTCTTCCCGCCATCGCTGGGTCACTGTGTTGTGGGACTCCAGAGGGACCTAGAGCCTAGCTCATGGCACAGCTCTCTGCAGCAGGTGGTTCTGGGAACATTTGCAAAGTACTGTGGGCTGCCAGTGGTATTCCAGCCTTTAGAAGGGGAGGATCCTAGAGTCATGCCCCTCCCCCTCAACCCAATGACTGGGGCAGTGACCATCTTTTTTTCTGCTCAGTGTTTGCCCTCTGTGGTTGATGCAATAATTTCTAAATATCGTCCTCCCCGCCAGGTTCCCACAGCTCAGCAGGGGATAGACACATGGTCTGCGACTGAGGAAGAGGGAAAACAGGGGGCTGGAACAATGGGGGCCGGAGTCACTGCCTGATTCTCACCAACTGCAGCATGAAAACATGTTGATATCTTGTGCCAAGGGCTTTGCAGGAGGCACAGACGGGCTTCTTAGCCTTCATCTAACTTCTGCCAAGTCCTGATCGGCAAAGCTATTCCAAGTGACAAAAAGGCCTGGTGGATCTGTGTTGCTCCCAGTGACGTATGCAATCAAGTAGTTTTCACTGTGAGGGGCTTTAACCCATTTCTCAGACAATAACATGCAGATTCAGACCAAATTTTCAGATTCCAGAGCAGTGGACTTATCTGTGGGGGACAAACGCTGTCATCTCTGCTTGAGTGTGAGCCACTGTCACTTGCCAAGGGAGTGGAAGTTCCTACTGCCCTTTGGGTTAGAACCCGTGAGTTAGACTCTAATCAATCCAACTGGGAGACATTGGGCCTATTATCAGAAGAGATTTAGGGCAAGAAAGCGACCAATCAGCCCTTACTTAAGAAATCATTTTTTGACAGTAAAAATCTTCTCAGTTCTTGCCCTATTATCTCCTTTCTAAGGGAAAGTTCATCCAGAATCTTTTGTCCAGGCCACTCTAGTGCTAGTTGGGGGGACCTCAGATTTCCTTGACTCCTGTCAGTCTGGTTGTTAGCCAGCGTGTAGCACACAGACTACATTGCTACAGGACCTTCTCCAGATCAGGGGTGAAGATCAAGTCAATCACGCTGACTCTTCTACATCTGTCAGACGTCTTTGATATACTGACTATGGTGAGTTGTAACTTATAGCGCTACACTTGAGTGGCTTTGTCCTTTTCTTTCTAGGAGGATCCCATAGGTAGTGCTTTGCAATTTTCTGTCTGCCCTGAGGACTTTTTCATGCAGGCTGCCACAAGGTTCTCTTCTTAAATTACAGAGAGAGGTCTATGAGCTGCTCTTCCAACTGTTAAAACAACACAAGCCATTCAAGTTTGCACTTTGTGTTGGGAGGTTTCATTCTGAGGATAGAGCTAATATGATAAGTAAACATCATAGTCCGTGGCAAGAGTTCACGGGCATTATAATTTCATCTAACCTTATCACTGCCAATCTGAAGGCTAAAGTCCAGCCCATCCCTATTCTCGGAGAAAGGTGACTCTATAATTTATGGGAAATGACAAAAGAGCATTAGGAAGTCCTGTGTTCTGATTGGCCATTAGACATCATGTTGTGACATACATTGCAACCCCACGCAGTATCTTCGGTGACCACTGTGACATTTCTGAAAGGTTTATGTATGATTGTGTCTTCGTCCATGGGGGAGGGTCCCACAAGTCTCCAGGAACGCGAAAGGGGGTGTGGGTGGGAGAGGGACTAAGGGGAGTCACTGAATACTGTAAACAGCCCCCAGAGGTGCCAACTGCTTCAGGTCTCCGCTCCTGTGATAGGGCCACACGGCCTCCCCTTTAACACACCCCACACCCTGTGCCACCAGCAGAAAGGGGTGTCAAAGCTTTAACTGAATGAGGGAGCTACAGTGGGTTCAACAACTCAACCTTCTTCAAAATACTCCGTGTCAGGTCCCTCACGGCCACCCATGTTTTAACACAAGCGCAGTAGCCTGGGGCAGGCGCAGATTGGCAGAGGAAACGTTTTCCCAGTGCGGGGCTGAGGTGGGCTTTAGCTCCACTCGCCATGGGGCCCGGTCCCCTGCTCCTCCTCTCCCCCCGAGGTCCCACCCCCGGCCAGGCCTGAATCAGGCCATGGTAGGAGCCCAGGGGGGCCATTTCAGATTTTGGTGAGGGGGGGGCAACTTTAACTGTGATTCCAGGAGCTACTTAGGCACCTGAAAATGATTGAGGTTTTTTGTAAATTATTACTTAGAAATTAGCTGACAGGAAATTGTATCTAATTCCCATTAGGGCTGTCAATTAACTGCCATTAACACCTGCGATTAACGCACAGCACAATTAACAGACCCTCAGGGCTGGATACTCCAAAAGCCTGTCTGGTCAGGCGCAGTAACACACGCCGCCACCAGGGGGCGGGAAGAGACGAGGTGACAGACAGTGGGGTAACAACAGGACAGTCAGGGGCTCGCCGGAGCAGCCCCCCACCCCGTTTGCAGGGCTCGCCCGCACCGCCCTCCCCATGCCGCCTGCAGCTGGGGCTGACCCCTCCCCCGCCGAGTCCCGTGCTGCCTGGGCTGGGACTGACCCCCATCCCGAGCTCAGGGGCTGATCCCCACCCCCCCACCCCGAGCTCCACACCTCCCCCAGCTGAGGCTGATCCCGTCCCGAAGCTCCTCACCGCCCAGAGTTCAGCTCTGAAGCCAGCACCTCCCGCCAACAGCAAATTCTCCACTTCCCTGCTGGCGGGCAGGGGCATTGCTCCTTCAGCTGTCCCT